AGCTTTAGGGATGTGGAAAAAATGCTGGTGCTTCCCTCCTGACTGCAACGAGAAAAAGCAGCGTACGTGGTGAGAGCTGTACTCCCGTACATCACCCCGCTCTTTGTTAGAATAGTCACCTTTCTGGCAAGACCCCAGCAGTTTACTCAGAAAAAAATGAATTTTTTTTTTTCTCCTTTAGCAATAAATATTTTAGAGGGAAGATTGACCAAGGCAAACTGTTTCCTAGCATAAAGTGTTCCCTTTGTCTCAAAGCTGGCACTATGGCCCTCTGTTGAGTAGAGGCACAAAAGGCCCGTTGCTGCTCACCGCGAGGCTGTAGCAGGAGAACTTCGACAGGGCCGCACCGCATCGAAGGACCGGCATTTGTGCTCCCAGCTCCACACCGGTGTTTGAGCAGCACGCACGGAATGACGGGTCCGTTCCGCACGCGAAGCACAAATTCACTGACCCACCTTAACACCTTCTCTTTAACATCTGCACACAGACACCCCAGACCCCTTAAAATGAAGACACTCCCACAAGAACTGAAAACGCTGGGACTTGTACCTGAATGTCCTATGATCATTTCTGCCATCCACACAGCTTTCGCGTCTCACAAAACAACACCCAGGACTTGGATTTTTGCCATCACTTCTTTATTTTGGGAAAAATATACAAATTAGTTCTAAATAAACACCCATCCCCTCCCTTAAACAGACTGTTAAATTAGACTGCCCAAACAAAATGTGCTTATACTCCATTTTCACCTACATGATGCAGAGTCTGTAAAACCAAGAAATACATAGATACAGTGCTTTGGTAATTCCCTGCAATTCGTGTGAGTGAGAATGACTGAAATAGCTGCATGCTCTTGAAATACCAATCCAACACTGCAGCTGGTCATACATACAAAAGTGGCAAGTTCTGCCTGTGCCCCACTCACCATTTTTTTTCTGCTTTTTTTTCAAACCACCAAAGAACAATACTGCAAAGAGACACAACAAAGGGATGTGTGTCCGTTTCCACTGCACCCCTGCAGACATTATCACCCTTCCTAGGAACAGGCTGAGAGAGGATACCATTCCAGGTACGCTGGGCACCTACTTACACTCTTTGGGAGACAGCAATTTGCAAATCAGCACAAGTGACGTTCCAGTTAAAAAAAAGAAAAAAAGAAAAAAGAACAAAAGAGGTATTTGCCCCAGTTTTCAAAGAGAAAACCAAGGTAAGCCAATACTGGAGCCCAAAGAAAAGGCATATTACAATGTGTTGTGTAACCATGATGCGTGTAACCAGAAAGGACAAATTATTACATGGCGAACGCAGCTTGTCCCCACAGATCACAAGCAAAGCCAGCAGCTTTCTCCAAGCAAATGGAGTGAATAAGGGCTTGCCAATAGCCAATATGACTGCATCCCTGAGCCGCCCAATTAGTAGGTTACAAGCTTTTTTTTTTTTTTTAAAGTTGCTATTTGAAGGATACAAGGACTAAACACCACAATCCCATCACAGCCCGCATAATCTAACCCCACTACACTACCCAATGACACTGCATGTGCAGGACAGCTTCCTCTCCCACCCTTTCAGACATCTAACCTGCCTTAGGTCAGCTCATCCAAAAATCTGTATAAATTACTACACTATGTCAACAGACTCTGTTGAAACTGGAAGTTACCTCTCCCAGAGAGGTTATTTTAGAAGTACTTAGGATATCATTTAAAAACAACTTACATTCTTCCCCCCACCAACACACAGTGATAATGGAATAAATCCACTTTCCTTCACATTAAGGAACAAGTTTTCCCTTTGAAGTGGCACTAGTGTCTTAATTCCAGTATTTAAAAACACGATTAAGTTTGGTATTGCCACTTTTCTCCAGCAGGAAAAAAAAGAGCTAGGTAGATGCCAAGGGAATATGGAAGAAAAAGCAAATAATAGATACTAATGGTAGATCTGTGGTTCTTGACAATGTCAAGCTCCAAACTTCTAATAGAAAACCAAAGTATAACTGGGACAGTGTTGGGGGAGGCAGAAAGGTGAAGAAGCACTGGTGTCAGAGCAGAAGACACAAACATTTGATGAATCAAGGACCTTTAACGGAAGTCCAATCTCTAAACTACATCTTCATTCTCATTTTGCTGAGTCTTCCTCAAGTGGGCCTGATTGTGGATGGTGTGCCAACTCCAAAGCTAGAAGTGCACGGACAAGAGCCAGAAAAGCCAGAACTATTTGCTGAGGAACAACACTCCCTAACAGCAAAAGGGTGAACAAAGATGACGCCAAACATGCGGGCAGCTGGACAACCTCTCCAAGAAACCACTGCCAGCCCCTGAGGCTTAGACACAAGCAGTGAAGACCTTGTCCAAGCAGGCATTCCCATTACTGGCCTTCGTATGGTCCCAAATAAGGCGGTGAACATGACATGCAAGCAGAAAGATGTTTGATGAGGTAAAAGACAGTAGCACCTCCCTTCTAGAAATAGTAAAAAAAATGCATTTTTTTCCCTATGTGTAGACATTTAAAACTTTTTTCTCCTTTTTTCCCAATAAAACCTGCTAAGGATACAAGCACAATCATCAGAAATACCAAGTCTGCTCAGAAGAGCTCTTAGGATTTCATTTCCTCATATACAAGCCTGTTAAACTTCAGTAAGTGTTAAAAAAACTGGAATCTGATACCAGCTCCCCTTTTCCCCCCAGTATAGGTTTATCACACACACAGAGTACATACTACATTCCCCTTTTACAGATTAACTGTTAAAAAGGATGATTGTTCTAAGCCACAGAGATTTGTGAGGTCTGGCTCTCATGGAGAAGCCATCTTCCTCTAAGGTTTTTACCTGATTTGCAAGGCAAAGCTCTACTGCTCCCATACATTCATTACAAAACAAAAAATAGTCTTTCAGTGTGAGCCTAAAAACCCTGGACCTGTTGGTCCCAGACCCACAGGTCAGTTCTTGGCCATTCGGAGTTTCCTACGGAAATAGTCAGGCGCTGCATCATACAGCCAGTCCGCATCCACCACGCACAGGTCCCGCATGTAGCACTTGTTGGTGTGAAGCAGCCCGTTGTAAACCACGCAGGCTGGCTTGCAGTGGAAGAGCACGGAGGAGGGGTGGATGGCCACCGACTGGTGAGAGTCCACGGTGCTGTAGGTGCCGTCCGGCTGCAGCTCCGCGGCGTTCATGAAGAGGCTGTGAGCCAGGCAGCGGCGGATGTTTCCGGTGTCTGAGCGGGAGGACTCGATCGGCATCGATAGCTGTTCAGCAGCAAAAGACACAAGAGTAAGCAAGCGTGTGTGTGCACTCTCGTCGGGAAACACAGCCCCATTTTAGTGGGCTGCCAAGATCAGGCAATATTGTGTCAGAAATCCTGCTAGCGTGGGAAATACAAAAGGACTGCTAGGAATTCAGCTCAGGTAGATGTTAGGCTAATCCAGACTAATAGCAAACAAAAGACGAGCCACAAAATGGATCAAGACTCTCCTTCTGGGAGTGAGTTTCAGGCCAACTAGCATTCAGAGCAGGACAGGGGTGTGAAACAGTGGCTCCCATGTCATGTACAGACTGCAAGCAATTCAGCAGCAGCTCCCACGCTGCACCTTACGCTCTGTGACTGGCAGGAACAGTGCTGATGTGAAAGCTGCTATTAAATCAAATGCCTGACTCCGTGAAGACACTGTGCAGCATGGCCTGCTGAGGCTGACATCACTCAGTGGCGCATCTACACGAGAGCAGCAAAATCCCTTAGGAAAAACTGTCCTCTGCCCGAAAAGCCTTCCCAGAGCTCCCCTTCTCTCTTCACCTCTCCTCGACCCACTGAGCCCTGCAGCTCTGAGATTTTGGGATGCAGCTGCAGAGTCAGGAATTTTACCTGACTGTTCATGGGAGACTGAAAACAAAACCACATTTTCTCACTCCTGGGACTTGGTGCACAGCGAAATCAGTTTGCGCACAAACAGAAAAATACAAACAAGTAAAACAGAGAAAGACAGTATAGCAACAAGTTACCTTTACACAAATGTCCCTGAGCTGAGCTCTGACGTCTGACACAAGCATCATGTTCCTGCCGTTGACAAAGTTCTCTTTGCACCATTCCTGCAGCAGAGACACCAGGAGTTAGAAGGAGCTGTTTCTCCACCCAAAAAGTATGACAGCCTTTGGATACCATGAAAAGCAGAATCCTCCAAACACACAATCTTTCTCAGACAAAAGGTGCTAACCCATTTCCTTGTCACACTTCTACCCATGATTACTCCCCTCTGTCTACATTCCCTCCCACAGTGCCAAGAAATGGCATGTTGTTGTTCTCTTCCCACTCAGAATTGCTCTGCAAGGTCACCAAGTGCTGCGAAACAGCACTTGCTATCCCACAGGTGGTGAAAACAAATTATGTAAGAATGACAGATGCTGCAAGGAATGGGGTACTCAAGTCTACAGATCTACAAATCAAACTGAGGAGTTTATAGGGTAGGATAAATCAAAATCTGGTTGTAAATATGCTCAGTGTTTTTGCAATGAATCCTGCCAAACAGCATGTCTAGAGTATTTATCAGCAAGTCTCAACACTCTCCCACTCCCTCCTGTTTCCAGCTGGAACCAGGGAAGGAAGAGACCTGGCTCTGATTACAGAACCGGCCTCACGGCTGAGGGAACTGGGGTTGTTTAGCCTGGAGAAAAGGAGGCTGAAGGGAGACCTCATCACGCTCTACAACTACCTGAAAGGAGGTTGTAGTGAGGTGGGCGTCGGTCTCTTCTCCCAAGTAACAAGAGGAAACAGCCTCAAGTTGCACCAGGGGAGGTTTAGATTGGATATAAGGAAAAATTTCTTCACCAAAAGGGTTATCAAGCATTGGAACAGGCTGCCCAGGGAAGTGGTTGAGTCACCATCCCTGGATGTATTTAAAAGACATGTAGATGAGGCGCTTAGGGACATGGCTTAGTGGTGGACTTGGCAGTGCTAGGTTAACGGTTGGACTCGATCTTAAAGGTCTTTTCCAACTGAAATGATTCTATGATTCTATGAAGCTTTTGATAATCAGTTTTGCTACAGCCTTCTGGGGGAACCTTCGGCACTTGAACAGCTTTCTCCAATCACCCAACTGTAAAGGATGAGTAAGTCCTCTCTTCTCATTGCTTTGGAAGGATGCATATTACATCAACCGTGAAGGATGCACTTTGCTGTATGCCAAAAAAGCTCCTCACCATGAGCCCAGACAGCACTGGAGTCCTCAGAGCATCCTACCTTGTTGCCACTGACATTTCTGAAGGCCCTGTACACGCTGAGCAGGGTAAGATGATCCCCCTCACTGGAGATGAATTTCTTCCTGACGGATTGCACTTCATCCCGCCGGGCGGGGGGATTGTAGAGGACACTGTCCACTGATAACAGCGACACGATGGTCAGGATCTCTTCTGTACAGTGAAACTTGGGGGACAGGAGAATGGTCTGCAAATCACAGAACAAAACTGGTTTTTGGTCAACCAAATCCACTTCAGATGGGGAGACTTTTCTGCTCACCGGCAGCCCAGGAGGAACTTTACCAAGCATTGTTTAGGACAATTTCATAAAAATTTGGGCCTAGAAACAACTGTAAATCCTCTTATGGGCCCACCAAGCGCCTTTAACAGCAACTGTCATGCTCTTTCCTGAGACTGGCCAGTTCATATACAGTACAAACATGGCGACTAAAATCAACTATAGCATCAGACACTTCGTGAAACTGCTAAACAGTGCTACCAGCAATCCCGGAAATTGCAAGGGAATTAGCCTTGTTTCAGCTTCAGAGATGCCACAGGAAAGAAATTATCTTTTAAAAAAATCCCCCTGACTTAAACAACAAATGACAAACAAACCAGCACAGCTGCTGGAAATAAAGCTGTGCTTCATTAACATACTGCAAATATACTAACACAGCTGCAGTCGCCTCAAAATTCCAGACCTTGTTTGAGGAGTTTGAAAGAGAAATGCCAATGGTACTGGGAAGAGTACATGAGATAAAAATTAGCTAATTTTTCTGTAGTTTTTACTTTAGAGAACTTTGGTTCCAGCGGAAAGGCTGCCATCTTCCTTCCCAGTGGGGTTAGGACAAGCTGATCTTCCTTTCGTTCCACAGCTCCCAGCAGGTCCAGCTGCTCAATCGCTGCTTGAATAGCGTCTGTCAAAACAAGAAGGTTCAGGCTGTGAGGCCTCCTGACTGACACCAGCAGGGATGCGAAGGACCAGCTGGTACCATCACTACCTCTTTCCCCTGGCCAGAGGGACAAGTACTTTCTGTTTAGAGAAATTAGTGTCCCAAACTGTGGTTTCTCCCCCTCTATCCAGTAGAACAATCACCTTTTCCAATTTAAGTATCCAAAACAGAGGCAAAACTAAAGCTGCCATCTCTAGCTTTGAGCAGAAGCCATGTAGATTCTCTATGGCCTTCCTTGGCAGTTAAGGCCCACCTTCATGTTCTTTATGACTCAAAACTGCTCCCTGCTCTGTTTGGAAGCTGGACTTCCCAGCTCTCTGCCATAACCATGGCTGCTCTGATGAGGCTGAGCAAAAGCAATGAGCAGTGAATGAATCAGAGACTTCTGGACCACCAGGAGAAGACGCAGCAGAGAAAGACAGCTCCCCTTTCACAGCCCTGATCGTCCATACTCTATCTTCTCTGGCTGGCCCGAAGACATTATTTTTAAGCAATTCCTCGGTGACTCATTTGTCAATTTTTTCCAAGGCTGCCTTTGTAACCACTTACCAGGAGATGGTTTGGACATGAAGTCAAAGGTGAGTACATTGGGAATTCTTAGGGCCAGGAGCTGAAGCATCACGCTGGCCAGATTACACCTGCATAGGCAGAAAAAACAACTGAGATTGTTCTCTTCTTTTTTTTTTCCTTCTTTTTTTCTTTTCTTTTATTTGCCTATAAGCTGAGATGGAGTCCTCAGATCTGTGCTGCAACTTGACAGAGACTAGTCCAATGCTGGCTGATGAAGCCTTACTTCCTAAACCACGAAGGGTAGGAGGCGAGTCCAAGATTTGGAGGGAAGTCAAGAGAACTATTGCCCATGCATGTTTGGAGTCTCAGAGCCCAAATGCCCACCCTGAGCAAATGCTTCCTAGTTTTTCTGTTTAGTCTCCAGAGTTCATTTTTCCTAAAAGACCCTAGATCCAGTTTTGCTGTTCAGTTCTTTACACAGCTCCATCTGTAACAGTACATAAAAGAGGTGTGGCAAGAAGTGTGACGGTATCAGGGTTCTTCTCTCACCTCTGTATCTCGGGTATTGTCATTTTGTCAAACTTCTCAAACTCATCCTCTGTGTAGAGCCGGTAACAGATCCCACTGTCCTCTCGTCCTGCTCTCCCTGTTCGTTGCCAAGCCTGGGCCTTCGACACCCGCTGGACTGCCAACACTTCCAGACCAATTTCTACATATGAAAAAGCATCACTTCAGTTAACGTCTGCGTAACACACAGCTTTGAAAAACATAACTTTGTAGGATTAACAACAAAAAATCCCAGGGTCTGCCATCCAAATACTCTTCAGACTTCACTTGGTTTAGCACCCTCAAGCAAAGGTAATTATCATGCACTGTGTCCAGGAAGAGAAGATTCATTTGGCAGATTTTTACCCCTGCATTGCTGGTACTCAAAAAAAACCCCTAAAAACCCACACCTAAAACCTAGGACATTAATTTAGTGCAGAGGGTGTTTTAAATCAGCTCTCAGTGGGGCTCACTGCCTCAAATAACTTCTATAAAACTGAAAACAATCTCTGTGTCGTTCCTTAGAATTCCTCACCAGGGCTGTACTTCTTTGCTTTGACCATGCCTGTGTCCACAACGTATTTTATTCCCGCAATGGTGATGGAGGTTTCTGCGATGTTGGTGGAGAGGATCACTTTGCGACAGCCCTGGGAGGAAGAGCAAATTAAAGCCAGTCAAAAGCCATTTTAGATCAGCTGCAATGAAGAAATGCTACTACTTTTGGCCAGCATGGGCCAAGTCTACATATCACTGCAGCATGCTATGACCACATACCATGCTTGCATTGCCAGCTCTCGTAAATTAAGATAATCTTTAGTTCCTAATCAGTTTCTAAAGCATGTGCTTACACTTCTTGCAACAAAATACACCATCCAGGACAGCTGTTATCAATATGTCTTTAAACCATTTTGATTTCATTTCTGGCACAAGCACAAGACCTGAATTCTTGTTTATCTGCTGAATAGGTACAAAAGGGCCTGAGGCAGCACAATTTCCTTTTCTTATGGCTCTGCCAAATATGTCCAGGTTTTTAGCTTTCTTAGTATTTGGCTGGCCCATTAACTGCCGTAGCTTTTTTGTGATATGGACATAAAACTCCTATGAAATGGGGCAAATTTCAATTCCTCTGCCCTTTTCTATCCCCCTAATCCTTCCTTCTTTTCATGGTCCCTGATGACTTATCGTATGTATCTGTTAATACCATCCCACGTGCATTGTCTTGTATCACCCTGGAACCATTCAGCCTAAAGTCAGTAGACAGTAAAGACTATTACTTACTATCAGTACAGACCGCTTTAACCCCTTAAATTCCACCAAATTTCTTCCAAACACTCATGCAAGCAAACAGACAAACTCATCCTGTTTACCCATCACACTGCCTCACCTTGGGGGCAGCCTGAAAGACGCGGACTTGTTGAGAGTAGGGCAGAGAAGCATAAAGAGGCATCACCATCATCTGTGGGCAGCCATCAGGGAGATGCTTGGCAATGTCTCGACAGGTTTTGGTCATTGCTTCAATTTCTTCCTGACCAGTCAGAAACACCAGGATGTCCTGAGAAGAGGGTGCTTCCTGGAGCCAGAGGAAAAAGCAAGGGAGAAGTCAAGATGGTTTGGATAGGGAGGGAGAACTGAGACTGTAATGAGATGTTGTCCTGACAGCAAGTCACCAAAGCAGGTAAGGAAGAAAGAAAAAAAAAAAAAAAATCACATGCTGTGCAACGTACGCAACAGCCTGAAGTTCCCAACGGATTCACCAGAGGTGAAGGGTAAACCGCATTTTGCAGGATCGAGTCTTAATGGGATGGAGGAATCATTTAAAGTCACATGTCTATTTCATTAAGTAACTGTCCAGGACATGCAAACGAGACAGCCAGCAAGCACCCAGGTACAAGCCAGTAGTTTCATTAAATAACTGTACAGGACATGCAAACGAGAGAGCCAGCAAGCACCCAGGTACAAGCCAGTAAACACAGAAAACTCAGGTGAGAGGAACATTTGGGTATTAGGTATGATTTGACATCAGAGATCTTTACTTAGCAGACTCCTTTCAACTCCAGCCTTGATGTACAGGTCCCAAAATCCTAACAGCAGCAGCATCTTCAAAGCATTAAGTGCAGGGCAATAAACAGTTTAACTACATGATTTAACCATCTGGCAGTTTTGCATTTGAACATTTAGTCACAAAATGCCTATAAGCTGTTACTTTAACAGATCTCTACTTGCTCTGCGGTTACACTTTGCCAGTAAACTAGAATCATCTTCACGCTACTGCTAGCTTATGCCTGGATTTCCCGCTGCAAGCCAAGGCTCTTCACGGTTGACCACTTCCAATCTTTCTTTCCACTTTTGGAGTAACACCAGCATTTGCCAACCTATCCCTTGAGCCAATCCAACACAGTAACCCAGCATGCCCCCCAACTATCCACTTTTCCCAGAGGATGCAGTGGAACACCTCAGGGATACCTCTGATTCGGCAGCATCAAGCTCAAACCATGTCTTCTGCCACAGCAACCTGTGAGCCTCCCCGACCAACAATCCACAGCCCCAGGGAGGCGCAAACCTGACGAGGCTGCCATACCTGGTGGATTTGGAAGACTGACACTAGTGCTGCTTGGAGGTAATCACTCTGAGGCTGCTTGGTGTAAAAGATCTGAATGGGATGTTGCCGGCCTTCTAAATAGAGAACAGGAGCTCCATTGAAGTACTGGGAGAACTGGTCAACATCCATCGTAGCTGACATGATGACCACCTTCAATGTGAGCATAAGATAGGTTAGCACTGCAGTTTAGACCCAGCAGGACGCTTACCAGTCAGGACTAGCCAAAAGTCAGCTTCCTGAGACTGAGATATATGCTTAGAACAGCAAAAAGCACGCAGAGTTTGGGACAGAAGAGAGTGATCTTTCCTTGTTAAAGCCATCAGCTTTGGTATCACACAAGCATAACGTGCTGGTATGATAAAATGAGCGAAAACGTGTTAAAATTCTCTTCTGACATTTAATAAACAGTCCTGAGTACCCACAAAGCTGGGCTGCACAATGGTCTGTTGAACGACACAGTGCTAGGACCCTACCAGTCCCCTACGTGCCTTCCCCATCAAAACCAACATGCTCTCACACGCTTCATCATGTACTCACACAAATTCTTGTGCACCTGACACACATGTGCAATCTCCTTCCCCAGTGTGAGCATGTCATACAACTGTCATATCAGACAGAGATGTATCCAGGCTGCTCTCAGCAACAGTACCAAAACCTCCCGTAACAACGTGTCTAGTCCATAGCTCACACCCAAGGGGCTCTTAGGAGAAATGGCAACATGGAGGTGACCAGACACCTTGTTCAGATGTGTCATATCAGGCCCACACATCATAAGTTCTATTCAGATTTAAAGGGGCTTTTTAGGAACAGGAAAATAGTCAAGGCTGAAATTTCAAACACTTTGGAAAACCCCAGGAGATACTCATAGTGCTCAGGGTCTAAGCCTCATCTCTGCCCTTTGGTGCCATCCTAGAGGCACATACTTTTAGTGGCAGTTTGCCCAGTTCCTTTCGCTTCTTCTGTGCAGCTTTCACCACTCCAAAGAGTACATCTGTATGGATCGTCCTCTCATGGGCTTCATCCAGGATGACAACGCTGTACTTCCGCAGCATAGGGTCCCCGATAGCTTCGCGAAGCAGCATTCCATCTGTTAAAAACTTGATTCTCGTTTCATCAGATGTAAGATCATCGAAGCGTACGGTATAGCCAACCTATGGAAGTGATCATTATGGAAAGTACAAGCACAAAGTTACTTGCATTTCTCATTGCCATCGTACCACAAGGAAAGACTACAAAGCACTCTGGTCAATGCATCGGACAGAGCCACCCAGAACGCCAAGGAGACTCTGGAAAGCATAACGGTGTATTTGCAGTCTGTGAGCAGTTAGTCTTGCAGATCTAATAATCCACCTAAAGGAAGCTCCCAACACTGTACCCCAATTAGCTTTTTCCCAACTAGAAGTTCATCACAAATACTCCAAGCTTCCTTTCCTTCCTCCCCTGCTAAAAACTACTTCATGCTCTCCGAAGACTTATGTAGGGGAAGTTTTTCTCCTCCACTTTGCTCCCACAGATCCACAGATCTGCACAGATTCAGCCCTCTGCTCTCCTTGACAGTGACTTTTGGTACAGGGAGCAATGGAAGAGAGCGCAATATTTTCTGGTTTATTCATTAACCAGTATTTTTGCAAATGGAGGAGCACAGCTAATAATCAAGAAGTAAAATACCACAGAGACAAAGTCAAACATGCCCCCCCTGAGCCCCAGAGGCAGGTGAAACCCCATTTTTTTCCACTCAGGCATATTATTAAATGAGGACCACATATTACTCCTGCGGATATTTTTTATCTTACCCATTAAGCCCTGATACAGTCTCATTGGCATTGCAGTACTAAACCAACTCTCTAAAGACTTTGTAAAGCAACATACCAGTTTCCCCAACTCTGTCCTCTTCTCGTCCGAGACTCTGGTAGCTAAGGATATAGCTGCTACTCTGCGAGGCTGGGTCACAGCAATGATGCCTTGGCGGCCAATTCCTGCTTCGTAGAGGTACTGAGGGATCTGAGTGGTCTTCCCTGAGCCCGTTTCTCCTAAAGAATAAGATGGGAAGAGTTTTCCCTTTCTATAACGTCTTCAAATGAAAGGACCCAACTCATTTTTTTATGTTAACTTTTAACATATTTCAGGATGGGGAGGCTGAAGACAGGAAGAGGTTGGACAGCCTGCCCGAAGTCACACCATAGAGCAGCAGCAGGCCAGGGACAGAACCCAACACCTTGCTCTAGTTGCTAGACCACTCCTCTACAAAACTCCTCTCACCCAGGTTCTCTCCAGCCACACTCTGGTTTAGAAACATATTCCAGTCTGTCCGGATATGAAGTGTTTGTTGTGTAACACAGCCAACATAAGAAGATAATCATGCACAGCAAGGAATAGACACTGGTTTGGTTTTATGCATATATTTACACTACATACTAGGAAGTTTCAAAGTAAAGCTGTACGCAAATTAAAGCAACGCTTTTGTCACAACGGCAAGTAGCAAGTTATGGTTTGAGACTCTCTTAGAGGAGCACTCAGGGCACCAATAAGGTAGCAAGTCTTCCTCTGTGCCTTCCTGAAATCAGAGACGGTCCCTTCAGGCTCAGGTGAATGTCTTCTCCATCCATACAGCACTAGCGCACAACACAACAAACACACCTGGGGGGAAATGGGATAGTATTTCCAACGAAAATTCTGTGTAGACCCCTCTACCAAAGACCGCAGTCAGCAAAAGCATACAGACAGCTACCAGCAGTCCTTACCGCAGCATCGACAACAAAAAGCATAACTTACCAGGCACAGCGTAAAGCAGCACAAATCACAGCACTTAGAGGCACTGCAAGTAAAACCGTCTTGAAGTGCAACGTGCAGGGAAGAGCAGGAATACACATTTTATTACAGCTTAAAACACATCTATAACTCAGATCAGATCCCCTTCAGCTTCCTACTGACCCACTACAAGAATCGCTCTATATGAAAAAGCGCGAGGCTCTGGAAAAGAGAGCCCTGTACTCTCAGTCCTGGCAAGACAGCAATGGCACAGAGCATGCTGGGGAAGCGAGGTGAGAGCTGACAGCAGAAGGAGGGAGAAGCATGAGAAATTCAGAAAGATGACCACCAAGGAGAGAAAAATAGGAAGGCCAAGTTGTAAGAGCTGCAGACTGCAAATAGCAAGAGTGAGCTTTTTAGCTCACTGCACAGCCGCAAAATTTTAAGTGGTTTATAATAGTGTATATTTAGCAAGCAGTAATGACAATCTCAGGATTATACAGAACAAAGTAGATAAATGCAGTCACGCCTATCAGTTGCCATGACTGACTTTTTTTTTTTTTAAGGATTCACAAATAAGAGTGAAATACAAAGCATTTTTCATTTAATTCTAATAAATGCTGAGTCTTTAGACTTCCAACTGGGAAGCTGGAGCTGCCTTCAGCTCCTGAAAGTCAGACAAAAAGCTTATTAGTTTGGACTCAAAGGAGGCATAAGAAAATTAGTGAATGCCCCTGAAAATATAGCTGAGGAGACACTTTTCCCAAAGAGCGGGGTTCTCCCATTTGGCTTTAAGCTGACTGAACTCCAGGCAGATGGCGAAACAGAAAGGAGAGGGAAAGACTTTCGCCTTCTCCGTAAGAATTAAGTCAGCAGCTGCCTCAACCAGCCAAAACGCAAGAATAAAAATATTACTGATTTACCGCGTTTCAGATTTACACCCAAACCACTTCTCTGCAACTCCTCACAGGCCGCGACGCCCGGCAGGACCAGCCCAAGCCCCGCGCTGGGGACCCCCGCTGCCCTTATCGGGGCACCGACGACCCCCTCGCTCCGCCGAGCCCCGCTG